TGTTTACCCTTTTATAGTATAATAAAGATTTTTGACTTTTCATATAGAACAAACGAAGCATGCAATTATCTTGTAATCTTTTTTGTCCCAGACGAGAATTCTAAAAAATTTTAACCTCCTGGATACCGACAATTCTTGCGTTCTTTACGATCTAATAGAAAAATCGAAAAGTCACTCTCTCTTGCGTTCAATCGTCCTGAATCAGCTGCGTACGTATATATTTTATTGCACATGAAATGTGGATTGATACAGCCGTATTACTGAACATTTCGCTTCACAGCTGTTTATCGATACGACAGAACGAAAAAAAATTCTTGCGTTCTGCTTGTCTTCAGCCTGAAGATAGCGGTATCCAAGAGGTTAATATAGACAGTTTTGTAGAGCTCATCAAGATCTATCGATTCATGTAAAATTATCAAACAAAAAATTATTGGATTTTCACATTACTAGGATCTTACTCAAACTCATAACAATCATACCATTTTGTCCTTTTTTGGATAGTTTTTGTTGTAGTACTGAAGTTTTTTTTCGTATGTTTTCGATTCAAGAGTTATTCATTTCAAAAATATGCATACATGTAGTACTCGAGCTCCGCTATCCGAAGATAAAAAGAAATTTAAATTTATATCGTGTATTTTTGAAATGCCAACCAAAACAAAAAAGTGGTGCGAGACTTTTGACGTCCACTGTATATGTCTGTTACAGGCATCGGCCTTAACATAAACATGTCTCTTCTTATGTGTTGTTCTTGTATTTGTCTTGATTCGTCCACATTCGCTTTTTCCCGCTCGTTCATCGTCATGACGACCTCTACATTTCGCTTTTACTCTCTCTCTTTGTTCGACGAGATATCCTTCGCGCATTTTCTTCTCTTCCAAACCTTGAGCACCGTAAATTTTTATATTGGCATGTTTCTTTCTGATACGTGGACTACGTTGGGTTGAATTGAATCGAATCATATCGGTGTGTACGGTTGTGTGCGAATAAACCCATGCAGAGCAAAACCCTAGCAGTGTCACTATTCAATTTTTAGTTGCACTTTTGCTTTTTCTATCGTCTCCTTCGGTTGTACTAAAGTAAAACAAAATTTTTTAAACCCACCTTAAACTTGTTTTAGGCAAAGTTTTTCTGCTTATGTGAAAAAAAGATAAAACAACAGATGTTTCGTAACACAGCAAAATGCACTGTAAAAAAAAAAAGGTTTTTACCGAACCCTCCAAAAAGGTTTCGTAGGTGTCTAAAAGCTTCCAAATGCGT